CTCATGTCCCTGCATGAGAAGCTGGAGCTGACAGATAGGAACTCACCCTGCTCCCTGGATTTGAACCGCCAACCTTTCGGTCCACAGTCTTGCCAGCACAAGGGTTTAACCCACTGCGACACTGGGGGCTCCATGGAAATCAGATGTGGAGAGGATACCCATGTGCGTTTTAATGTGAATGTTATTCTTATGAATGCCAACAATAAAATGATCCAACCTTCAGTATAAAGGGGGATTTGCTTCTATGTCTGCTTTCTGAATTCAGAGCATACTCTTTGGATGGGCATGTTAGCTATTACATGCACCATACTGCTCGGATGTGGCTTGGAACCTGTATATTAATTTCAACATTTTACTTGGAGCACAGAAAATGCTACAGACAACATAGTCAGAAGCTGGTATACATTATTCCACAAAACAGCTAAGTGTTACTTTTTTAAAAGTACCTTCCATATTTAAAGTAGGTCTTACTGCAAAATCTGTTTTCTAATGAGCTTTCCCATTAAAAGAGAATTTAAAAATAGCATTCAAGTTCATACACCTTTTGCTTGGAATATGAAGTTCAGCTACCTATAAATGTTGAAATATGAGACAGGCATTGTGGCCCCAAAACATGTCTTCAAATCATATTTTGAGCCAACAATGTGATGCAAAAAAAGCAAGTGGGATTTTTGCAGAAATAGGAGTATAGTGTCTAGATCCAAGGATGTCGTGCTTCCCCTCTATTCTGTCTTGGTTAGACCACACTTGGAATACTGTGTCCAATTCAGGGCAACACAATTGAAGAGAGATATAGACAAGCTGGAATGTGTTCAGAGAAGGGCAACTAAAATGATCAAGGGTCTGGAGAACAAGCCCCATGAAGAGCGTGTTGTGGATGAGTCTCTGAGTAGTAGTAACAACAGGGAGTTGGAGACTAGGCAGGCAAAAAGGTCTATTTGGGAGCAAGAGTCTATTGAAGAGCAACAGCAGAAGAGAATTCGGCAAATACTTACTGAGCCCACTGATGAAGAGTCTTTTGAAGGGTTTGAGGGGATGATGGGTTTGGCAATGAAGCAGATTCTATGAGAAGTGCTGGGAGTGACACTAATGGGGTTGGGGATGAGATGGATTGGACAAAAGTAGAAGAAGTGAGAGAAGTGTGTGAGGAGCCTACAAGTAGTGATACATTCAGAGGGTTTGCTGGGGATGAAACTTGGAGGGAGGATTGTCTACTGTACTGCCGAAGGCTTTCATGGCCGGAATCACTGGGTTGTTGTAGGTTTTTTCGGGCTATATGGCCAAGGTCTAGAGGCATTATCTCCTGACGTTTCACCTGCATCTATGGCAAGCATCCTCAGAGGTAGTGAGGTCTGTTGGAACCCTTCTTCCTAGTTCCAACAGACCTCAAAACCTCTGAGGATGCTTGCCATAGATGCAGGTGAAACGTCAGGAGAGAATGCCTCTAGAACATGGCCATATAGCCCGAAAACACCTACAACAAACCAGATTTGTCTACTGTTTGGGGAGATGTAAGTAGAAACAGGAGAAGGACTTCTTGGCAGGCAAGGCAAAGAGCAGCTCGGGCAGCACAACTGGCAGCTGAGCGTGGGGTGTTTTCTGAATCTAGTTTGGAGGAGAATGCAGGAGAAGCTGAGGATGGGATGTTGTCTCATTGCAGCTCTAAGGAAAGTTTGTAATATAAGGAGGGTTGGTTACAATGGGGACTTTTTGACTGGCAAAGTATATACTAGGTTGCCTGTTACGTTGGGTCGTGCTCCCTGAACTTCCTGGATGCTTTTGGGATTTTGCTACTGTTTGGTTTGGACCTTGGATCGTTTCTGGACATCGTTTTTGCTCTCTTGCCCTGACTTTGGATTGGATGTTTGATGGTGCTGCTGCTGTATCCTGTTTACTGTGGATGACCCCTGGACCGGCTTGACTTCAACTTTGCTACACCCTGGATCGTGCTCGCTGAAGCAATAGCAAGTGCCCTTTCCTTTGCCGTGTATTTTTGTTGGTGGGTTGGGGTTTTTTAGGATTTTGGGACTCTCTGTTTTGCCTCCTTTTTGATCGGTTGGTCTGTGTTTTGTTTTGGAATGCTATTTTGCTGCTGTTAAGAATTTTTGATTCTTTTGAGCTGTACCTTTAATAAACATTTGTTATTTGCATTTGGACTTGATTTCGTGGCATCTGTACCTTGACAGAGCGGCTTAAAGAGCTGGGCATGTTTAGCTTGAAGAGAAGGAAGAGGAGACATGATAGCCGTGTATAAATATGTGAGAGGAAGCCATAGGGAGGAGGGGGCAAGCTTGCTTTCTGCTTCCCTGGAGACTAGGACGCAGAACAATGGCTTCAAACTACAAGAAAGGAGATTCCATCTGAACATGAGGAAGAACTTCCTGACTGAGAGCTGTTCAGCAGTGGAACACTCTGCCCCGGAGTGTGGTGGAGGCTCTTTCTTTGGAGGCTTTTGAACAGAGGCTGGATGGCCATCTGTTGGGAGTGCTTTGAATACAATTTTCCTGCTTCTTGGCAGGGGGTTGGACTGGATGGCCCATGAGGTCTCTTCCAACTCTATGATTCTATGATTCTCTTCACAGGGCTCAGATTTATCTTGTAACTAGGACCCTGCCTTATCATTTATTTATTTATTATTTTATTTCAGTTACTTCTACCCCACCCTTCTCACCCCTCAGGGTGGCTTACAAGGGAAGGCACAAATTCGATGCCTATATCAAATATACATACATACATAAAAGCAGTTAAACAGTTAACAGGTTAAAAACATCAGTACATAACGTAATAGTAAACAGTCTCATGCTCAGTGTTCAGAGTTCCATAGATCCATTCCGTTCCGTCAATTCCTGCCCATCATCAAGGTCTTTTCTTTAGCTGCCAGACTGTCCAAAAGCCTGGTCCCACATCCAGGTCTTCAATTTTTTTCTGAATGAAAAAAGGGAAGTCGCTGATCTAATCTCCCCGGGGAGTGAGTTCCACAGGCGAGGGGCCACCACCGAGAAGGCCCTGCTCCTCGTCCCCACCAGCCTCACTTGTGATAGAGGCGGGGTTGAGAGCAGGGCCTCCACAGAAGATCTTAAACTCCGAGGTGGGACGTAGAGGGAGATCCGTTCGGACAGATACACTGGGCCGGAACCGTATAGGGTTTTGTAGGTCAAAACCAGCACTTTGAATTGTGCTCGGAATTGGATCGGCAGCCAGTGGAGCTGACACAACAGGGGGGTGGTATGCTCCCTGTATGCGCTCCGGTGAGCAATCTGGCTGCCTCCCGCTGGACTAGTTGGAGTTTCCGAGCAGTCTTCAAAGGCAACCCCATTATTTCAAGTCCAATTACAAATTATTGTTGAATTTAGCATCATCCTGAAAGTTGTTTTTTTTTTTACAATAACAACACAGAGGAGCAAAATCCACAACAAAAACTTCGTACAAAGGTGATGACCCACAAAGCTAAAGGTGAGATGAAGATTAACAGTGTAAATGTTCCTGATAACAAGAAACAAACAGGAAAGGATGAACTCCTATATCCGATCAAATGCAAGAGCTGGTACAAATGTACAGAATGTTCATTACAGTGTCATTAACCACAGCTCAAGCCGAGCAATGGCCTCCCTTCAGAACACATGACTTGGAGAACTGTGTCACGCTGGGTCGCACAAGTTCACTGCAGGCATGCCACTTTAAAAATGAACCTCCTCAGGGAAAGCTGTGCTAAGTCTACTGGGGCATCGGGATTTGAGGATTTAAGTGGTCCACAAAAGCTTATGCCATTATGAATTTGATAGTTACGGAACCACGAGATAGTTCAATGTATTGTCGAAGGCTCCTAGTTTCTAGTTTTAAAGAATGAAAAGCACTCCGAACTATTTAGCAAAGCTTCAATGTAAACATATGAGCATGCACATACGCTTTCATTTAGAAGAACAGAGCAGAATCCACATGAATTTTCCATTCTAAAAGCTTTTTATATACATTTAATCCTCCATGGTTATTCAGCTACAGAGGAACACTATGATGTCAGAATTGGCTCCTACTCATATTATCATCTCCTGTTGTTATTGGCAAAGATGATGAATCTCGCCTTCCCCAGCCTCCGTGAGATGATGAATATGCCTCTCCCCAGCCTCCGTAAATCCAAAATCTTGGGAGAATGCATCCTATGTTTATGAAATGTTTGAAAGATGTGCATTCTAAGCCAAATGCTTGTGTTAAGCTGCACACCAGGTAGAAATCCACATCGAGCTTCTTTACTTGGCCAAGAATCCCAATTGAAAGATCAGAAGGAAAGCCATTACAGCCTCTGGCCATTATACGGAAAAGGAAACATCTCATTCCTCTATTTAAGGAGCACCTGCCAGGAGCACCTCAAGCAAAAATGCTCCAGTGCTGATCTCAAGCTCATCCAACTGCATACAAATCAAAAGGGAAATTATTGTTCTGATTTAGGAACTGGTCTTTGAGCAACCAGGCCTTTTTAGGCAGTACAGGGAGTCCCTGAGTTACAAACATCTGATTTACAAATGATTCCAAGTTAAGAACAGGGGTGAGACAATAGGAAGGGAGAGAAATCTAACCTTCAGAAGGGGAATTCTCTCCTGGAAGTGTTAAGATGGGGGAAAGGTGTCTCCATTGAAGTGTTCTCACTAATACTTGTTTCCACAACAAGCCATTTTTTTTTTCAAAATCCAATTATCACAGGGACAGAAGGTGAAGTGTAAGCTTCTGAACATGGGCACAGACAGCAAGACAAGCACCACAGAGGTGTTAATCTCTCCCTATGCTATCCAAAAGATAAATAAAAAAATATTTAGCTGGAATTACCATATTTTCCGGTGATCCATAGCCCAAGAAAGACAGTCATACTAAGTCCTAGTCTCTTGAAATGAAATATAACCACCCATCCTGGTTCTCCATAGCACATTACAACCGGGTACTAAAACGAAAGGGCCCCGGCAGCTTAAAAGACAGCAACCATTGCTAGATACAACTGTTTCCCCTTTTACCTTTTCCGCATCTTGTTCAAAAAGCCTGAGCTGAAAGCATTGGTCCAATTTCAACTTCCGCACATGCCACATCTGATGCAGATGCTGCCGCGTCGAGTGCAGGCGGTCCAACATAGTGGACACTTTCGGCAAGAGGTTCTGTAGGTCCGCATTTCCAGAGCCAGAGTTCTTTTTGGGGAAAGTCTCACTGCTCTGTATCCTTTGCAGCAGCTTTTGCCCTTCTAGGTCCAGGTCCTCAATAGGGGCTTTGATGACTTTCTTCTTCAGTTGCGAATGCTCCTCGATCATACTTCTAGCTGCCTCCAAGTCCTGAGGCAAATCCTTTTTGGCCAAGATATCCTGCAGCTCCTCCAGCCTTGAGAGCATGTGAGTGGCATTGCTAATGTAATCCTCAAAGGCAACTCTGATTTCTATCCATTCCTCATGGTTATATTCCAAGCAGCCATCAAATTCAGGAGTTAGCTGAGATGGGTCAACAACTTTGGTAAGGCCTTCCAGAGATACCATGTTTGTCTGAAAAGCAGGAAAGGGTAAAAATCAGTCATACAATATAAAATACTAGCCGTCCCCTGCCATGCGTTGCTATGGCCCAGTCTCTGTTTATGTGCTTTGTGTGTATATATGTGTGTGTATATATTTGTGTATATGTGTAAATATGTGGTTTTGTGCATGCATTGTAATGTAATTTTTATTTTTTGGATTTTTAAGTCTCTTCCGCTGTGCTTTTCAGTGTTTTTATGAGTGATGGTCACTTGTTGGCCTGATGGGTGCATTGTATCCAAATTTGGTGTCAATTCACCCAGTGGTTTTTGAGTTATGTTAATCCCACAAACAAACATTACATACACACACACACACACACATATGCACAACACTTGAATAGAATAAAAGCCATTTGGATAGAAGACACATAAATAGATTACTGCAACGCACTCTACGTGGGGTTGCCTTTGAAGACTGTTCGGAGACTTCAACTAGTCCAATGGGCAGCGGCCAGATTACTCACCAGAGCGCCATACAGGGAGCATACCACCCTCCTGCTGCGTCAGCTCCACTGGCTACCGGTCCACCTCCGAGCACAATTCAAAGTACTGGTCTTGGCCTATAAAACCCTATATGGCTCCGGCCCATCTTACTTATCTGAATGTATCTCTCTCTACGTTTCACCTCGTAATTTAAGATCTACTGGGGAGGCCCTGCTCTCGGTCCCACCAGCATCTCAAACGCGTCTGGTGGGGACGAGGGACAGGGCCTTCTCGGTGGTGACCCCCCACTTGTGGAATTCGCTCCCCAGCGAGATTAGATTGGCGTCCCTCCTTACTTTTAGGAAAAAACTGAAGTCGTGGTTTTGGCTAGTGGGCACAACAGCACTTTAGGCACTGAACTCGGAAAATAGGATTGTTATGAAAATTGGAAACGGCTATATGACTTGTGATTACGTGGTTTATTCTATGTGGTTATGTATTTTTAATTAATATCACTGTTTAATTGTTATGTAATAAGATTTTATATTGTTGGTTTATATTGTTGTTATTGATACTGTTGGCATTGAATTGTTGCCTGTGTTAGCCGCCCTGAGTCCCCCCTTGGGGGTGAGAAGGGCGGGGTAGAAATGGTGTAAATAAGTTAAACAATAATCAGAACCCAAAAACAAGGGTAATGGATTTCCTATGTTTATATCCTACCCTTCCTCCACATATATTGAAATCTACCCATACAATCTAAATGAAATCTCTTATCTCAAACAGGTTAATTTAAGGACATCTAATGCACTGGTTCTTAAACTCTGGGACCTGACCTCAAACAGGGTCATATTAGCTCAATGTTGGGACACAAAAAAGTTTGGCAACAGTAAACGTTTTCTGAACATCACCTATTGATTATTTAAGACATTTACATGAATCAGTTGCTCTTTATTTACTAAATGAACAAAATCCAGCTACTGGCATTTTTAAAAAGAAACTCTTAAAATAAAGAGCAACACTCAAAAAACACGGGAATTCCAGACAAGAATCAATCAGAGCCAGCTAACATCTCCTAACAAAGGATGCCCCCAGGCAGCAATCAGCCTGGCTTTGAATCTATAAAGCCATCACATGCTAATCAATGTGGCTAATTGCAACATTCACACGTGCATCAAGCAGTCAAAGAGTTTTTTCTCCCATCCTAGATTCTCCACAGATATACAAACCTCACTTGCTTAGTTTCCAACAGACCTCACAACCTCTGAGGATGCCTGTCATAGATGTGGACAAAACATCAGGAGGAAATGCTTCTGGAACTTGGTCATATAGCCTGGAAAACTCACAGCAACTTAAATATCACTATTTTTCTATCATTCTCTGGGCTATTTTAGGCCCAGGAAACTCTCCTTTTCTATAGGAAAAGAGTCAGAAGTCAACTTTTACACTCATTTTCTGCTGGAAATGTCTTCCTTTGGACTCAAAAACTTAAGACTGACTAAATCAGTCAAAAATCTAAATAGCATTTTATGCCAGTGGAATAAAAGAGTCAATAGCTGCCAAACATTATGAAAGAAACCCCAAAATAGGGAAGTATAAAAGATAAACTGGGGGAAAGCTGTGGACATGAGCAGAAATGAGAACCACGTGTGTGATTCTCGTTTCTGCTCAGCATGTTATGCTCACAGTTTCCCCAATTTATCTTTATACAGCCTCTCTCTCTATATATAGATATATATTTGGGGGGTGTTCTTTCAGGTCTACTTTTGAAAACTGGATTCTAGTATTTTTTAGAACAATAGCAGTTCACTTATTAACACCTGCTTTTCTAAGTTTTCTCATGACTGAAATAAGTCCTACATAGGGAAATCATAATCAGATCCAAAGCCTAAGAAAGTTACTGTTTTCAAGCAGGATTCCTGGAACAAAAACCTGTATGAACAAGGGCCATTCCAACTCTCCACGAGGGTTGAATGAAAAGTAATGCCTCCACCTTCGTAACTCCTCAACAGGTGGCAGTACTGGTATGCGGCAGGTACTGGCTTGTTCAGTAGACTCTCCTCTACAGTTCCATTTTGGCAGTGAGCCTTAGCATTGAACGGTTGTGTTGTTAAAGTGTGAAGTATGGAACACTGCACCGGCTGGTCAATGTGACTTAAGCAACGTGCAGTCATTGAATTCTTGACAGCACCCCAAAGGAGATTCATCAGAGAATGCCAGCTGTTTATGGATTGTGTTGATGTGAGTACTGTGCATAGTTGGGTGAGTAAGTTTAAAGATGTTGAGGTGACACCTTCTGTTGTCAAGAATTCAATGACTGCATGTTGCTTAAGTCGCATTGACCGACTGTCTGCAGGGTTCCATACTTCGCACTTTAACAACACAACCGTTCAATGCTAAGGTTTCCTGCCAAAATGGAACTGTAGAGGAGAGTCTACTAAACAAGCTAGTACCTGCCGCATACCAGTACTTCCATCTGTTCAGGAGTTACGAAGGTGGGGGCATTACTTTTCATTTAACTCTCGTAGCTTTTGAAAAAGAGGCGACATTAGATGCAAAGTAGAATGACTGCACGTCTCTCCATATCTCCCCTTCACATCCCTTTTGCTCTGAGTTGAAAACCTTGTATCTTCGCAGAAAAGTTACACCCGCCTGATCTTCCCTTCCACCGTTTCCCATCTCTGGAAATCCCACTCATTCCCAGATTCATGCATGCTTTCTGAAGGCATAGGAAAAGGTGCTCTACTCTAATCACTGCTATTGTTGAACAATCATTCACAAACACTTTTGTTTCTTCTGTTCGCCAGTCAACCAAAAGCAATCATTCACATGGATTTTTTTTTAAAGCATTAAGAGAAAAATCAATACAGTAGCAAATAAAATGATTCCCTAACCAAAATGGATCATTCCAAAGCAAAGCTTTAGGGAGGAACTGAAACATCGCTGCAATAAGCAATTAATTCAGAAACCCAAGTTGATTGCTTATTACAAAAAGATTGAATAACTGCAACCAAACCCTGGAGGAGGGGTGGTTAAAGTTTCTGAAAACGTACTTCCTCGCAGATGGAAGGATATTAAAGCAGACACCAGGTAAGTCTTTTGGGAGGTGTGCAACACTACACAAAACATTTCCTCTCTGTCTCTCTATGATTTTTGGGATCATAGCTTCCCAAGCCTATACTCCACATACTGAGTCACCAGAGGTTGCTGCTACAAGTATGTGTCAATGGATGAACTTGTAGCATCTCCTCTCCTTGGCTGCTAAAAGATTCCCTATCTTTCTGCGTAAGTCCTGCTCTCCAGTCCCAAGGAAGAGCTGTGGATACTCTTTGGAAGAGGACTTCTGTCTACTCATCACTGGCAGAAGGGATACCCAGTTCTAACAGTAGTAGGATCATATGGATTTGGGGAGGGGAGATTGTGTTAGTCTTTGCTTTGTGTGTGTTGTGACACAGAAGTACATTTTAGGGCATAGCAGTTTTGGTGCCGGAAGAGATGGAATGCCTCTTGTTTTGTGAGTGTTTTCATACGAGTCCTCAAGCAAAATATCTCTGGGGAAAATGTGTAAATGCTATAGTGAGCAGACTCCCTTACTAGTGCATGCTCCCAGTGTCCCCAGGTCTTTTGACCTACAACTCCCAGAAATCCCAGCCAGATTACGAGCTATTATGATTTCTGAGAGTTGAAAGCCAAAATATCTGGGGACCCACAGCTTGAGAAGCACTGTGATATAGGCTGAGATATGCCTCCTATTGTCACATTTTTTATGTTTTCTAATTATGCATTCCCTCCACCCTTGGTTGAGCACACAAACATTTTTCACAATGCAGGGGTGCAGGAAATATGGCCTGTGGGATGCCAAGTACCTATCAAGGACATTTCTGTGGCCCTCAAGACCCCCAAATGGGAAGGGGTTGGTTCCACAATGCCCCCAAATGTACTCTAGGTGGTGCGGAAGAAAATTTGACCACATTTGAAGGCCCCTGGGACAATTAGATCTGTGAAAGCTCTTTTTTGAAACCCAAAACACAATGAAAATGTCCCCACACCACCTAGAAGCCTTCGGGAAGGAAATTGTTTGATTGATTGACACTGATTAGCAGCAGCATGTATGGCCCACAGGAATCTCCTAGGAGACTGATGTGGCCTTTTCATAGCTTTCCCAAGTTTCCGAACCCTGTCACAATTCTCACACTGGTACGGTTGTGGAATGTTTTTGCAACTTCCTCAGCCATACTGGGTTATAGGGTTGTTATTGTTTACAATTCATCTTACGGTAATGAAATGATGACTATTGTTTAATGAGGCCAAGTATTCTTCCTACAAAAAAACCCCACCCTTAAAACAATGCTTAATAGACTGATTTTTAGTTTCACCTTCTAAATAAAGCATCAAGAAATGAAATCCAACTTTCTTGTGACCATTTACCTCAAATTCAAACTTGGAGCTGCCGAAGTTAGTCCGTTGTTTCTGCCAAAAGTTGTCTGGCTTGATTATCAGTGCAACATGGATGCAACAGGGAAAGGATTCCTGTAGGATCTTCAAAAGTGGCTTTATAGAGTCCCATTTAGATCCACGCATATCTACAATGACCGTGAAACCTCGTTTACACACTTCTTCACTAGAAGGCAAAGAAGACAGCAGTTAATAAAGGCAAGCATTGTGCTATTCCAAGTGCCAATTCTATTTTCCTTCCCATGTGTTAACTCAGTAGGAGTTTTACCTGCAGAAGGATAAGTCTGGCCAGAAATTCAAATAATATGGTAGTATTAGGCACCGGGGTGTAGGGCTTCATCCCACATGAAACAAACACCTTTGAACATAACTACAAACATTGGATAATATTTATTTTGTTACTTTGGCTCCTGATACTGAACCTGATTGGCAAAAGCAGCTGAACCTGATTGAATGTCAGCAGGTGAGATTATGGAGCGAAAATGGGCAAATGGGAACCCGCTCACTCCACTAAAATAAATAAATCAGACCCATATCTGTCTAACTATCTATCTATCTATCTATCTCCATCCAAGAGGCTTGCAGGACTTGTGATTTTGCATTAAGATGTCCTTTTTTGTCCATCATACCACCAAAAAGAAAATCTGAAGTGGGCATGAAGACACTTCTAGTTGTGATATTTTTCCCTCTGATCTCGTTCTTCTTCTCCCACTCCTGCCACTCAAATATATCTATTTTAGAATGAACCTTCAGTTCCTCTAGCCAAAGGCTATCCATGCCTAAATACAGCCTTGTATTCAGCCTACACTGAATCTTTTGGAAAGCTCCTTCTATTCCTAACTGGATAGGGCTGGGTCAGCTGGCCTTGGAGAGAAAATCCACACTTGACTCAGTATTATTCTCACCTACCAAATGAGAAGCAGCCAGCTGAGAAGTTAGCTACTTCTCTATCAAAAAGACCTCATGCAATACCATACTATTTCTATGATATAAATTTATTATTTAGTTATTTATTTACTGTATTTGTATACTGCCTTTCTCAGCCCATAGGCAACTCAATGCTTACAATAAATGTTAATCTGGAGTTATTAATGAGCTGTTCCTCTAGATGTGCTCTCCTGTGAACCTAGCCCTTTCCACAGAATAATCTTTCACCTATCATGAACCAGAAGGGGCATGTGTCAGGGTTACCCTTTGCCAAGTAGCTAACCGTTCTCCAAAGGCATGACATTGGAGCTTATAGTCAGGGGTTTCATGTGTCATATGTTTTGTAAACACCACTTTCCTCCCTCGCACATGAGATTCTTCCTTGGCCAGTACTTTCAAATGCAATCTCCAGGAACAAAATGGCAACACTTATCTTGCCGCAAACCACTTCAGGAAATAGGTGTGAGATTGAACATTTTCATACCAATACACAGAAATGTCCCACGGATAGACATATAATTATACACAATGTCCGTTAGAAAACTATGTGAAATCTCTTGGGAAGAGAGGCGGACACATGTCAGAATGCTGGAACAAGCAAAGACCACCAGCATTGAAGTGATGCCTCTATGTCATCAACTCCGCTGGACTGGGCATGTTGTCCGAATGTCTGATCACCATCTCCCAAAGCAGTTACTATACTCCCAATTCAAGAACAGAAAACAGAATGTTGTTGGGGTTTTTCTGTCATGTCAGGAGCTCAAGTTGCTTCTGTTGTGAGAGAATTGGCCGTCTGCAAGGACGTTGCCCAGGGGATGCCCAGATGATTAGATGTTTTATCATCCTTGTGGGAGGCTTCTCTCATGTCCCCGTATGAGGAGCTGGAGCTGATAGAGGGAGCTCATCCGCCTCTCCCCAGATTCGAACCTGTGACCTGTCGGTTTTCAGTCCTGCCGGCACAGGGGTTTAATCCACTGCGCCATGTTGATGCGCCATGTTCCTGTCCATGTTGATGGACAGGAAACGAGATTTAAAGATGGGATTAAATATAACCTTAAAAAACTGTGGCATAGACACCAAGAACTTGGAAACCCTGGCCCACGAGCACTCTAATTGGAGGTCAGCTATGACCAGGAGTTCTGTGGAATTCGAAGAGGCATAAATGAAGGGCGAAAGGGAGAAGCCGTGCCAAGAAGAAGGTGCATCAAGCCAATCCTGACCAGGACAGCCTTCCAACTGGAAACCAATGTCCTCAATATGGAGGAACATGCGGATCAAGAATAYGGCTCCACCATCACCTACGTATTCACCACCAAGACACTAGACTTGGAAGGCTATCGTACTCGGACAACGTGGGATCGCCTAAGCAAGTTAGTTTCAGGGTTGCACTTTGCCAAGTAGCTAAACTGTTCTCCAAAGGCATGTCATTGGCGCTTATAGTCAGGAGTTTCATGTGTCATTTTTGTAAACACCTCTTTCCTCCCTCACACATGAAATTCTTCCTTGGTGAGGTTCTTTTAAATGCAATCCCCAGAACCAAAATAGCAACACTTATCTTGCCCCATACCACTTCAGGAAATAGGTGTGAGATTGGACAGTTCAGTATTAATACACAGAAATGCCCCACAGATAGACGTATAATTTTACACAATGTCACAGAGTAAACTACGCGATCAGGTTATTTTTATGTCGAGAAAGGGTTCTTTTTTCCTGGTTTTCGGTAGACACAGAGACACAGAACCTGGAATCATACTATTAGGAGAGCTGGGAATTACTATTTGATTCTTTATGTTACAGGGAAAATTGCCTTTAAACAAGCACTGTGTTAAGAATACCAGCAGGACATATTCTGACTTTGGCTGCAATCCACAGTGCATTCCTCTTAACAGTAATAAGTTTGGAATACATACTTTCGTTGATTATAGCTCCCGCATCATTTGAGCTGAAAGCCCAAAAAATGTTATTCTAAACACTGCTTTGAGAAATCTAAATTGTCTAGAACAGGGTACTTGGTTGCTAAGTTACTTTCTCTTAAAACAAATGGAAGGTTAGAAGAACATGAACTTGGTATGAACCTCCACAAGGCTCCCTTTAAGATTTTTTCTGTTTTGACACAATGATTTAAAAAAATGCAGATTCACATCACAACACCGAAAAAGATGCTCTTACCTAGGAATACAAGCTAGGTATGAAATGAGTCTCCTAAGGTCCTCCTGTCGTATTCTATCATGATTACTGCGAGCTGGAAATGTTAGAATGGGGCCTCCTCGCTTATCTCTTCCACCTGGAAAAAGAAACATATTGAGTGGCAATGGTTCTGTTGGCTGTGGTGCACAGTGGTGATAAGAGCTTCTGCCCTGGGGGAGTCGCCAGCTGACAATACGCATCAGAGCTTGGTATTTATGCACATCCCTTCCTCCGAATGTGGCTTTGGCTCAATGAAAAGGGGTCACCGGTACATTTTATGATCTTTTTAAAAAAACAAAAGGCATATCATCATGGGAAATACATTTAACAAATGCTTGCTTGCTTTTTGACAACAAGAATCATGCTGAATTTCCCTGAAGTACACAAGCAAGCATTTCATATTTATCCAATCACATCTGCATCCCGGCCTTTGTCCCTGGACTCATTCCTAGAATTATTTTATTAGCAGAACAACACAGAAGACATATTAAGTTGAATGGGTGTCTTGCCCAATCCTCATTGGGTTTCACAGCCGAAGAGAAACGGTCATCCAGATCTGCCAATCACTATCCGTTGCTCATATTCACCCCTTGCTATTTTTGCATCTTTCCATCCCTTCCCTCTACGGCAGTAATTCCCAACCTGTGGTCCGTGGACCACCAGTGGTCTCCAAGGACAAAAATATGGCCTGTAGCCTCATCATTACTACACCATTGCCTCGAACCCACACAGCATGAGAATGACTGGTCTTGTGAAACCCTCCTATAGTACTAAGGCAACGGGGATGTCAGGAGGGGAGGGGGTGGCTACGCAGGAAATATTACTACTACTATATCAACTCTAGATTACTAAATATCGTTTTCTGTGGGCAAGCAGATGGCAACTACTGGATGGAATATGGTCTGTATCAGAAACTAGAGCTGATGTGGTCTATTCAATGCCATTTTCTGAATTGGCAACCGAAAAAACCAAACCAAATCTAAAGTTAACCAAAAACTGATTCGTAACCCTTTTGGTACTAATGTTGGACACTGGTCCTTGGTCAAAGTGGTTCCTGTTCAAGTGGGAACCACTGCTCTATGGTCTTCTTCACTGTCTACTTTAAGTTGTTGGCTCCTTGGTGTTAAGCAATCTCTCTGCTTTCAGGTGAAGGAAGACTGTAAAGAAGTGCTACTCAGTGATGCATCACATACAAGCAACGGTCCATGACTTTGTAACTTACCTTCTACGGCGAGTATCCAGGAAACTTATTAGTGCATGGCAGAGCATTTATGCAGGTTGTGTATGAAAGAGGAAAGTGTTCAAATGTTTAGCTGATTGTTTCTAGCGTTACTCCGTAGCATGTGGTAGAAGCAAGACACTATGAATTCTAGTCAGGATTCCTAAGGAAAATGATCCTAATTTACACAACAACCTGTGGCTATTCGGAGAGTGGTTTTAGAAATAATGGCACAAGATTGGGATCGCTCAATGGATCAGCAGGGGAAAGAATCAGTCTGCTATAGCCCATTGTTTTCGAGGCAGTGTGTAAAATATCTTGCAGCCATATGCTGCTGTGTAAGTTATTAATAATGCAACTACTATTATCAAATCACAGCAACTCTCCAATTTATAAAGGCTGGAAAAATAGCTTTAAATACTTTTTACACACAACATGACCCATCACAAAATAATGCAGGATTGTTTTTCAAAGCCAGTACGGGTGGGAAAAACCCTCCATCAAAGGGCTTAGGACAGGCTTCATGATCTTCTCAAGTGATATGTCATAAAAGGAATGGTACAGCTTTGGAATTTTGGGAGATTACAAATCCCAGATCCCTCCGCTGGAATGTCCATTTGCAATGTTGACTGGGGATTCTGGGTGTCTTAATCCAGAAAGGTAAATTCTCAAAGCTCTTTAACAGGACTATCTCTACTGACATCTTTAGCATCTGAGGAACAATTATTCTGTGTTTATCTCATATCAGGGCACTTGAGGAGAATGAAGGGAAAAAGAAAATTGGTGGCATTAAGAAAGCTAGCAAAATGAACACATGGCAAAGTCAGCTGCAAGCGCAGCTTGAGAGATGAAGCAGCCAGGGTCTAGTATGACCTCATTTGACTTCTTCCATGGATTTTCCACCTCCAAATTCTATCTGTTCCTCTCTGAGAGGAAACGAATACCACGGACAACACCTAAGTTATCAAGATGAAATCCACTTTCATTACATGTCCCTTGGAAAGTTGCAAGAGGATATTATTTTTGAGATAGTTGTATTTGAGGGGGCATTGAATGTTTGCCTTTTGTGATGTGTAAACTTGCCCTGAGTCCCCTCGGGGAGAAAGGGCAGTCTATAAATAAAGTTTTTATTATTATATATACGACAATATAATGTGTATATATATCAGGCATGGGCAAACCTTTAGGCACATTGCATTTTAAAATTTGACAGACGGGCTGAGCCAGTGGCAGATGGATGGAGAATGTTTGTTTGAACTAATTGAAAAAAACATGAATAAATTCCTAGGAGGAGGAAAGGGTGGAGCCCCTCAGTTTGCTAAGGGGTTCAGGGAGCAAAGTTTGAGAACCGCTGCCTTAATGGATAAAGAAGCAGTATGTGTATAATGGCTGAGAAATTTCTCCAATGCAACTGGCTTTCTGTATTAACCACCCACCTTCCTTCCACTCTTTCTTATAAGCTTCAAATGATAAAAGTTTTCAAACAAGATAAGATTAGTTAGAATTTCCTCAAGTCAGACTTTACAGACCAATTTCCCCAAAATTAATATCTGAGGTTGAACACAGGTCAACAAAATGGTCACCACATGCTTTTTCTTTATGGTTCTTATTCTTCCTTCCTAGTCTAATGCAATTTTTTCAGAGGCCAGATCCAGACAGGCCTTAATCCCAGGAGAATCCACATTTAAAAAACACAGATTTTCCTGGAGACCTGTCCACATCCACCCCAGAAAGCATGCACTTTCTGGGGTGGGTGTCCAGATGTTCTCTCAGGACTAGCACGAGAGAACGTCTGGAGGTCCTACCCCCCTCCTCCCAAGCCCTCAGACCCCTTAGAAAAGTAATGAAAACTTACCAGGCCTCCATTAGAAGCCTCGGCCAGCTCTCCCAGTACACGGAAATGATGCGCCAGGAGGGGGAGGAGGGAAGAGATTTTCCTCCCCCCCCCCCCCCGGCGTGTCATTTTTATGCACTGGGAGAGCCAGACAAGGCTTGTAATGGAGGCCTGGTAGGTTTTATTATGGAATCTGGGGACTCATAATGGGATCTGGGGATCTGGGGGGGGGGGTGAGTATTCCCACAGTTTACCGGGTTTATTTAGCCCAGGAAATTGTGGGAATACTGGCTGGACTGCAGTATAGTAAAGAAGTGGATTTATTCCGCGCCGTCCAAGAAGGTGTGGAATAAATCCACTATCAAATTAATTCGCTACAAACCAGGGTTTTCCTGGTTTGTAATGAATTAATTTGGGACTGTCTAGAACATTGTCTGGACAGCCCCTCCTTTATTACAGGAGTTACCGCAATAAAGATCCTGTCTGGATTGTCCCAGAAATACCTATCTCACCATTTTTCCCTACCTGGAATAGATATTCAAAGCTTTCCTCTTTTCTCAGTCCTTGGAGACAAACCATTCAAGTCTTCCAAGGCCTGTGTAGGACTTTAATCCCAGGCAGTCAAGCTTAAAAAAAACTATAAATATCTATCCAACCACAGGAATGATAGTTCCAGAGTTTTGCAATGCTAGCTCAGCCATTCAGCATCTGAGATTTCACCGGAACACATGTATTGCCACAAATTCTGCATGACTTTGCAACAAGATTGATCTCATGGGATGTGGTGCAAATGCAAGTTATACAAAAAAGAAAAGAAAAAACCTAACACCCTAGAACTGATCTGCACATTAACAGTCTTCCATTGGGGCCAACAGGAGAAGCAGTTAAAAACAACTGTTTGCATATGAAAATGTGACTCTATTTCCTGTGCTGGTCAATGACCGAAATAAATGATTTGTTTGTTTGTAACTGTTTGCATATTCATATATGGCTTAGGTTCAGGTTAGCCCATATGTTCAGATCTTCTGGGGAGGCCTTTCTTTCTGTCCCTCCACTCTCATAGGTACACCTGCTGAAAACATAGGAGAGGGCCTTCTCGGTGGTTGCTCCCACAGTTTGGAAATTCCTTCTTGGAAAGATGAGATTGGCAACTTCCCAGTTATCTATCATAGGCAAGTGAGATCATTTTTCATTTCAGCAAGTCATTTGAGGATCGACTGCTTAGAAGAAACAGGCCTTGCGTAATGTTTTGGAGTTTCTATTTGCTTTTTTTTCATGGTTTATGGTTAATGGTTTATAATAGGCTTACATGGCATGACTGGTAACATTGTATATGCTGTGATTTTTTAAAATTATGTTTACTTTAATTAATGTGAAATTTTTGGAGTCTCAAATTGGGGGGAAGGTAACATATAAATAAACATGATGGTGGTGACGATGGCGATAGGGGCAAGGGCAATCAATGAAACTATTATTTTTACAAGCACACAAATATTTATCCGATGCCAAGTTGACATGCGGGTGAAGTTTATCAGAGAAAGAATAGAAAAGAAAGTTGTGTTTATCTTCCGTTAAAAAAACAAGTCTTGAGAAAGTCTACATAAGGCCTTCTTCTAAATCAAAAATTAAAAGAAAGAAAAGCCATAAAATGATATAGGCAAGGAACTATGTTAGCAAGAGAAAATAAGAGACTTGTAAGAAAAAGAAACAGCAAAAAATGTTAATGTCAGGATGAGGTGGATTTGTAAAAGCAGCAACAGGAAACAAGAGGGACAAGGCAAGGAAAGTTAGTAAAAAAACAAAAAATAGTGAAGCAGAAATCAGGGCAAGTCCCAAGGCAGGCCTCATGCAAGGATATTCAACTTGTAGATAGCACTGCAACTGAGAAACAAGTAGAGATTGGAAATTGTTATGTTTCTTCGAATGCCACCTGCATATATTTTCCACTCTTGTTCTGATTGCAATTGTGAGACTTCCTGGGGTATTTGCGCATGGAAATCTGTACATATTTTGATCCCCACTCTTTAGTACTTTTTTCTCCTTGCAGATAATTAACTATGCATTTTTCTCAAGGACTAAAGTATGTTTGTGTGCAATCATGTGCATATAATTCAAGAAAGAAAGAAACGGAAAAGGAAATTAATGACTTTGCCATATGTGGTTTCCTTGCATTCACAGGAAACTGAAAGACACAAACATTTGTAGAAAGCCCCAGGGGAAAATAAAGATCTAGATCGATCTGATTGATCTATAAGGTCAGCATGGTGCAATAGTTTGAGTGCTAGAATGGGGCTCTGAGAGAACAGGATTTGCATCCCCATTTGACCATGGGAACCCTATAGGATGGCATTATATTTCTCATCCTCTGAGGAATGCAACAGTAAACCTCAGCTGAGGAAACCTTACCCAGTAAATCCACAACAGGTCCAACTTAAGAGTCACCATACGGTGGAATTGACTTGAAGGAACACATTATCGATAAAGATTGATACATGGCTATATAACCATTTGTTCTTCCTATGAATATTTTTCTGAGTACTGCATGTATTTGACCATAAGTTGATCTTACGGATAAGTCTAGAGCAGTGGTTCCCAACCTGTGGTCCTTGGACCACCAGTGGTCCGCAAGATTACTACACCGTTGCCTCGAAACCATGTGGCAACAAGAGCGACTGGTCTTGCAAAAACCCCTTATAGTGCCGAGGCAACAGGGATGTCAAGAGGGGAGAGGGGCTGACTACCCATGAAAGATTACTACTAACACATCAGCTCTAGATTATTAAATATGGTTTTTTGTGGGCGAGCGGATGGTGACTACTGGATGGCATACATTCTGTATCAGAAACTAGAGCTGATGTGGTCTATCCAATGCAATTTTCTGAATTGGTAACCAAAATAACCTAACCGAATCTAAAGTTAACCAAAAACTGATTCGTAACCTTTTTGGTACTAATGTTGGAGACTGGTCCTTGGTCAAAGTGGTTCCTGTTCAAGTGGGAGCCACTGCTCTATGGTCTTCTTCACGGTCTACTTTAAGTTGTTGGCTCTTTGGTGTTAAGCGACCAAAAACCGATTCGTAACCCTTTTGGTATTAATGTTGTACAGTGGTCCTTGGTCAAACCAGTCCCTGGTCAAAAAAAAGTTGGGAACCACTGGTCTAGGACAAGTTTTAGATCCAAAATTATGGAATTTGCTATGACCTTCAGAGGTTCCTCTAAAGATGCTAGCCACAGATGCAGGTGAAACATCAGGAGAAAATACTGCTAGAACATGGCCATAGCACCCGGGACCACACAACACCCCAGTAGTTATGTAGTCCAGGTAGGTACGGCCGTTAACGACTAGTGAGAAATTTCTTACGTCTGGGCCTCAATATTTGAATTGGAAAAGATCAGTAGGCAGGCAAGTTTCTCAATGTATGTTCTCTCTCTAACCACTACCATTCTTTTTGCTCAGTATTATTTCTGCCCTGCAGATTTGGGACGTAGGAGGCAGGTTGAAATATTTAGCTTTGCTACAGTAAATGAGTACATTCAATGCTGATATGAGACTCCAATCTAAAATGTTTTCATTTAAGAAGAACTGAGCAGAACTTAAATCAAGTTTTCCTACTAAATGTATCAGCCACGTTCATAGTTTTGATGGGCAAGCTTCTACATGCAGGGTGTTCGTTTTAGCCCAGGGTTTGATGAGCAATCTGGCTCCTGATGATAGGCCAACCTTAAACAGTTTTAAGTTTCTGCGATTTCACACTGCTAAATCAAACAGAGATAAGAGGTACAACACATCCTCTTAAACAGGCAGTTGCTTAGAGACTGTGGAAAAAAAGACTGCCACATGATGATCCCAGCACCTTTAAAAACATTTAAACTTGAAAGAATGTCACACAACCTGCTATATGAAGCCGTAGCCAATTCACTTCAATGTTATGTCCCTAGCATCTGAACTTTCCATTGATCTGCTTCCAATTCCTGCTCTTCTACCCACAGATAAATTAGTCAGATTGAAAACACCACTGCAAAGGCATCAGGTGCATGATACCAGCAATGCAAACATCTCAGAACAAGTTCAGGATGCATTTCCCAGCTCCCCTGTGCTCTTGGGTTAACGTGTCAATTGAGGAAAGGAACCCAGAGTAGACATTACCTCCATTAACTTCTCTACAAAAGAGCAAATGGAGAGAGAGAGAAAAAATCTATACAGGGTTGTAGGATATACATCTGAGATTCTTTCAATGGTGCATCTACCAGGCATGGGCAAACTTTCTAACTTGGAGGCCAAATGCTATCACTCCCTGCTAGGACTGGCTGTCTGGTAATGAAAGGAAGGAAGGCAAAGAGGAAGGAAAGAGAGAAGGAAGGAAAGACAGAGGGAGGGAGGGAGGGAGGGAGGAGAAGGAGGGAAGGGAAAGAAGAAGGAAAGAAAAAAAAAGAAGGAAAGAAGGAAGGAAGGAAGGAAGGAAGGAAGGAAGGAAGGAAGGAAGGAAGGAAGGAAGGAAGGAAGAAGGAAGGAAGAGAAGAGAAGGGAGGAAAGAAAGAAGGAAAAGGAAAAAGAAGGAAAGAAACAAAAAGGGAAGGAAAGATGAAAGGGTGGAAGGGAAGGATGAAAGGAGGAAGAAGGAGGGAGGGAGGGGAGGGAGGGGAGGAGGAAGGAAAGAGAAGGAAGGACAAAAGGGTGGAAAGGAGGGAAGGATGAAAGGGTAGAAGAGATGGATGGATGGAAAGAAGGAAGGAAAAAAAGAAGGAAGGAAGGAAGGAAGGAAGGAGGAAGGAAGGAAAGAGAGAAGGAAAAAGAGGGAGCAAAGGGAGGGAGGGAGGGAAGGAGGAAGGAAAGGAAGAAGGAAGGGAAGGACAAAAGTGTGGAAGGGAAGGATGGATGGATGGAAGGGAAGGAGGAAGGAAAGAGAGAAAGAAGTAAGGACGAAAGAGTGGAAGGGAAAGAAAAAGGGGGAGGGAAGGAGGTAGGAAAGAGAGAAAGAAGGAAGGATAGGATGGTGAGATAGAAGAGGGCCTGAGAAAAGAGACTAAGGGGCAGCATATGGCCCCAGAGCTTGGGTTTACCCATATCTGAGCAACACTGTAGAATTAATGCAGTTTGACACGACTTTCATTACAATGGCTATGGAATTCTGGGATTCAAAGTTTGCTGAGAGACAAGCATTCATTGGCAAAGAAGGTTAAAAACCTTGTAAAACTACAACACCCATGATTCCATAGCATTGAGTCATGGCAGTTAATTGTACAGTGTAGATGCACCTTGAGAATCATAGAATTATAGAATTGGAAGATACCAAAAGGGCCATCCATTCCAAACCCCATCTGTATATTCTGCCATGCAGGAATATACAATCAAAGCACTCCTGAAAGATGGCTATCCAGCCTCTGCTTAAAAATCTCTAGAGAAGAAGACTCCTCCATACTCTGAAGAAGTAATTTCTCTGGCAAACAACAGTTAATGTCAAGAAGTTCTTCCTAACATTCTTCTTTCCTCTTATATTAAACAAAATCTGAGCAACGCCACTCACACTGCTAGCCTAGGTACAAAATATATGGGACATTCTCTGTCTGGGTCAAGCAGGTTACCAAGTGCAAATCATACAACAGACAAAAGGACAACTTTGTTCAGGAATTATGATGATTTCTTGAATGCTTGGAAAGAGCCCAACCAAAACATGGAAAACCTATGAGCATACAAAAATGCTATAGCTTAGTTATGATAAAAGAACACATTGTTTTGGAATATGTGGTGAAGGGATGGTGAAGCACAGATATATTTAAAGTAAAGTCAGCAAATTGTGTAACTCCCATTAGCTGTAGCTAAAGTTCAGAAACATCTGGAAAGCCATAGATGGCAACCCCGTTTAGAATACCGAACTGCACATGGAAACAAAATGCATCAAACATGAACAGATTCCTATTAACAAAATATGATAACTTGTAAAATTAATGTAGATTTTCCTTCAGAATTTTCTTCTGTTGATGCTGCTGTATTGGCTTTTGAGAAAAAGACCACATCCAAAGCTGTAATCTTACAATACTTATATATGAATTTCTCTGAACCTGCAAGACTCATTTCTTGAATAGCCACACACTTAACTGCACTGTTAGTAATCCGTGATTGCGACAAGATAATTAACAAATTCATCTAAGGATTATGAGCCAAATACATCCACCTACCTGAAAGGTATGCAACTTTCTCTTTCAAGATAGGCAGGACTTCCATAGCTTTCATTTCATCATTTTTACGAAATCCTGGAAAGACAAAGGAAACAGGTGTTATTTAGTTTCAAGAGCGAAGTAGGCTTCCTTCCAGAAAGACAAAAGTACATGTGCAACAAAATTATCATGATGGGGGGATGTGCAGGGATATTTGGGTTAACCATAAAATAAAATCCTTAGTACATACTGTGGCCAAGATTTCACAATTGTATGATGGGAGCAGAGGTGGTTGCACACTTCAAAATCTCACTGATACATGATATATGGTGAGTAAAGATGTGGGTTACAAGGGTTTCTTAATACCGTGAATACAGTAAAATCCAAAATCTACAAAAGAGCAGTAATAACTGAAATGCCCAAAGTACACAATGCAAGCTTTCACATCTCCATTCATGAGGCAAAACATCATACAGGAGAAGAAAGGTGATGATGGAAGAATTTTAGTTGGCCAGCAAAAGGATCACTCTTTTGTAGGAGTGTGCACGATGACATTTTGCAAAACAGTATCTAGGAAATCCGGAAGTTTTGGAAACCAAATCCCCAGAAACGGAATGGGCGATTGGGCTTGGACTGACTTGGCCAAAACGGACTACATGGCTGCCAATATCGGCTGCTTTCGGAAGTGCCATGGCATCAGTCCTGCTTATGGGGTCCCCCCCTTAGCCTTGCTTGAGCCAATCAGAGCAAGAAAGTGGATCACATGTCCTTTAGCCAAGCAATTCTAAAGGCCAGCTCATTTGTTTTCCTGTGATGTCCTGGCTTGTGAGAAAGAGATTGTGTGCTAGCAAACTCCATGTTCTATCTCACTGCCGTCACTGCTTAGGATTGCTTTTGGACTCTATTTCCAAACATTCTGAAACTTGGGGTGCTTGCAGTGGTAAATGTATCCTCCAAGTTGGCCATTTTTGTTCTGGTAGCCGTAAAAATGACAGAAAGTGGAGCCTCAGACTTTCCTCCATTGCCACTGATGGGCTGGATTTTCCCAGAGCAAAAATGGAACTTCTGGGTGATGGAGCAATAAACTATATTTTCCCCTCCCAAATTTGGGCATTTCCTGAAAAAAGAGATTGGGGGCAAACAAAAATTGGGTACCAAAAACAGTACAGGGTTTTCCCGAATTGCACACCCCTACTTTTTTGTCAATTTTGGATGTTGCAGAATGGCCAACATGGCTACCCCTTGAATATGATTCCTAATAAATACCCTGAAGTATTGGCTTTCAGAAGCTAAGCATGGACAGGCTTGGTTAGTACTTGGAAGGGAGACCTCTATGAAATATCAGCTTCTGTGGGCCATATTTCAGAGGAAAGCAAAGCCAAATCACTTCTGAATAGGATTTGCCTAATAAACTCCTTAAAATGAATGTGGTCATCATACATTTAATGGTGACTTGGCGGCAGATTACTTTATTGTTCATAGATGCACATATCATTCCTGTCCACAGGAGTCAAAGGGCAAAGGTTCACCATATGCATTGATTTTGTACCCTTGGATTTAACCACCCATGGCTTGAAAATATACCTCCCCCCCAAAAAAAATCCCAAGACAAATCTTGATTTTCCCATGATATAAAAATAAACTAATTTACTATATTGTTGCATATAAATGGACTTGAGCATCCACAAATTTTGGAATCCATGTGGTTCAGAAAAAGGAAAGTCAAATTGAGCTTCCATTCAGTACCAAGCAACAGTAACAAATGAATACAATGTTCTGATGGGATCATTTTATTCTCTGTGTTGTGGGGTTTTTTTTTTTTTGTAATTCATTAAAACATAAACAATGTTGATGATGCCAACTGAAACACATTCCAAAATAAACATATTTTTGTAAAGAAAAATCACTATGAAAATCCGATGGCAATTCTGGCAGAACTAGTTAAAGACAACAGTAACTCTAAGTGAACTATATCTGAATTAAGACTGGTAATCAAAAACACATGCAGTCTAGAGAAACCCATGGCTGCCAATTCAAGCAAAGCTTGGATAGTCAAGAGATCGCCAGGAATTTGGTACTATCTTGATCTGTGCTACTAAAAGTGGTGGACTGTGGATTGGTAGCAATCTGTGAACCATAAAGTGTCAGATCCTCAAGAATTTTAAAGAAAGAATCTGTAGTCAATAGTCCCAAAGAAGATGCCAGCTATTATAAAAGCTGCTGCTCCTGCAAACACAGCTTTTTATTGTCCTTAAAGTCTATGTTGTAAATTATTTCAATATAGGTATATCTCAAGCTGCATTTACGCAGCTTGAGGTAAACCAAAAAACGCAGTTTGACCCCCTTTAATTCCCAAAAACAACAACAACAACAACAACAACTTGTACCTGGCTTCATCTCCCAAGGGGACTCGGAGCAGATTACAGCAATGTAACAGTGCAAACAATGTGAAAAGTGATATACAATGCTCAATAGCTCAATGCTATGGAATTATGGGAGCTTTAGTTTTACAAGATCTTTAGCATTCTGTCAAAGGGTGCTGGTGCCTCACCAAGCTACAAATCTGAGGATTCCATAGCATTGAGCCGCAGCAGTTAAAAGTGGTGCAAAAATGCATATCATCCTTTCCAGTAGGCACAGGCAAAAGCAAACTGCTGCAGCCTCTCCTAGATTGTATGTTGTTCCTCAATAACTTTTGACATCTTGACCAAACTTCCGTTTTGCTTACATCTGTGAAATACTGGAAAGTATGAGTTCTACCCTACATCTTCTAGCTGTCATCCAAGAGAATCTAATGCTTCACAGCACAGTTAAATATGACTACATGGGCAACACAAATAGTGGCATTAAGATTTTGACTTTATTTGATCCAGTGCAGAGTTTTTACCTAGTCTGACAAATGAAATGAGGAACTGTTTTGGCTTACATGCTTCAAATGCAAATCTTTTCAACCTGGTAGAGTCTCAGTATGAGATAATGCATTTGAGAAAACAAAAGAAGCAACCCATCTCAGCCAATTTCAGGTTTTTGCAACAGCATTACTATAGACTACCTTTCACTGAAGCACCGAGTGCATTATTTGTACCATTAAAAGTAATTTTCTTGATGTATGATGCAAGTGTAACAGTGAGAAACAATGGGAATGCATTTTCCACCATAAAAACAGCTCAGCTAGTATTTGCTTTTAAAAAATGAGCACTTGTAGCTACATATAGAGGCTCTTTAACTTGGGATTACTCCATATGTTCAGAATCACACGTAGGGAGAGAAAAAAGCTGTAGCTACTGCCCCAACATCTGTATCCTCTACCACATCGGTCTAGTCCACCTCATCCAAACCCTTATTAACTGGGGAAAAATATGTAATGGAGCAGCATGAATGTAAAGATTTCCCTGATCTCAAATCACATTAGAACAAAGAACCTACATATTTCAGCAGATGTCTCCACATTTCTTAGATACTCAGGAACCCTATCATGCAGAGTAGTCAACAAGCCATTTCTTTATTGTATTGTCGAAGGCTTTCATGGCCGGAATCACTTGGTTGTTGCAGGTTTTTTCGGGCTATATGACCATGTTCTAGAGGCATTCTCTCTTGACGTTTCGCCTGCATCTATGGCAAGCATCCTCAGAGGTAGTGGGGTCTGTTGGAACTAGGAAAATGGCTTGATATATCTCTCACCCTGGTCATTCCAGATATATAAACCCATTTTCCTAGTTCCAACAGACCTCACTACGTCTGAGGATGCTTGCCATAGATGCAGGCGAAACGTCATGAGAGAATGCCTCTAGAACATGGCCATATAGCCTGAAAAAACCTGCAACAACCAATTTCTTTATTTCTTCATTGAATGTACAATAGATCTGGAGCTGGAGCTGAGAGAGTTAAGCGATGCTGGGGAGAAGGATAGCACCAAAACTCAAAATGTTACTGTACTTTTTGGATTACAACTCTTAGAATCTCCATGTGACTTTGAGATTCCGTAAGTAGTGTCCCAAAAAGGAACCCTTCAAATATTTCGCGATTACATGTGCCTCCCTGCACCTTCCATATCTTTATCTGAATACCTGGATGCTAATTTCTAAAGGAGGCCTAAGAAAGCTAGTTCTTAACAAGCCATTGTATTTGGAGGACTGTAAGCAGTAGCACCATAACGGCGTTCCATGCAGTCATGCCGGCCACATGACCTTGGAAGCGTCTATAGACAACGCCAGCTCTTCAGCTTAGAAATTGAGATGAGCACCACCCGATAGAGTTGGACATGACTAGACTTAATGTCAAGAGGAATCCTTTACCTTTAAGCATCATAACTGCTGTCCAACTATTGCTGTTGAAAGGTTTTACTTTCTTACAGCAGAATTCCTAACATAGGAAGAGTGCTTTCCCTTTTTTCCAGAACAAAAACAATCCTGAACTTGATGTTTCATTGAGGAAAACTTGGCTTCAATGCTTACATTGGTTCCCTCTACTTAAGTCAATTAAAGCTTTAACTGATGAATCTACTCCATCATAAACCGATTAAAGCTTCAAGCCCAAGTTGTAACTAAAGTAGAATCCTACAATCAGCCTTTGCAAGAAGTACACAGGAAAGCCACAAAGCACTCAGCCTGGAGTATTCAGATAAGAAATGTCTAAGGACATCACAAGAACACAGTCATCTCCATCACGTTCTGACACTTCGGGACTTTGATTCCCTGAAATATAAAGAAGGCACTGTTCCTCAGAAACCTCCAAGGAAATGAAGAAGCCAGAACTTTTGAACACGTTTTTCGAAGCATATAATCTCCTTGTGGGCATCATGGAAAAGAAAAACAATATATCTGATCTTGGGGACAGACAGGAAGAGAATAAACAGTGCTGCCTTGTCCAAATCCATTCTAGGCAATGGATTTTACAAGTTACTATAATTAAATGTATATAGTAATTGGAAACTATACAGGAATGCTTCTGATCTGCAAAGCCAACTAAACACTATTTGCAATTGTTCCTACAATGATGTGATGCAAACACAACACCTGCTTGCTAGAAGCCAAGGGTCACAAACTGGGAGTTTGTCCTGGAAGGCACCTTTGTTAATTGCCTGTGCCATTGATAAT